GCGCGGGGTGTGTGGCTGGCTGGATGGCCGGGTGACAAACCACCACCCAACCTGTCAGTCCTGAGCTGTTCATATGCGACAGCTTCTGCTTGGCGCGGCATTTCTGTGAAGATGCAGTGTCCTAAAAGAGAGGCAGCGTGTCCAGCTCAGTCGTAGTTGCAGCACGCATAGGCCACCAGCTTGCATGCCACTCACCTTCGAACCGCGGTGACTACAAGCGCGGGGAGGCAGTGCAGCATTAGTGTTGGCGTTAACTCAGACGTTTCTAGTGTGATGAATTATTTGTTGACAAAAGTCGTGCGGTACCGGTACAGCTGCATGTTCATTCGTCCGAGTGCGCGAGTTTCCCTCCACTTCTGCGATCTGGACGCCCTCATTGCTACTGTATTCGCTTGTTGCATATTCACTATCCGTTAGCTGGGAGCATCTTTCCAGGATATCAAAGCCGACCGCCACTGATTGCCGCTGTCTCAAACGCGATGGCGAACGCCAGGGAGCAGGAGCAAGGGCCGTCATGGAACGAGGAGAAAGGTGCACATTGCTGCATTGTGATGCTCACTGTCGATCTCTTCGAGCTGGCCCAGATCGTTGGGCGCGATACCCCTCCGCAGGCATGATGCACAGCTTTCTCCTCAATTTCCAGAGCCAGGACGACACGGGAAAGATGGTTAATAAGTATATGCGCACGCTGGTGAGACCACCCCACCAAGCAGTGGGGCGATGCACGGCTCGCTGCTTGTGCTGCGGCCACCCGCCCGTGCTCCCCGTGGCACACTGTGTCTCAACCCTCTGCTCCCACTCGGCCACGCCATGCGCAGCAAGCAATTGCCAACCGGGAGTGCAAGGTGCTCAACATACGCTTGGACGACCTGCGGGACGTGAGCGCTAGTGCAGTGGGCCATGTGTGCACTGCCTTGGCCTTGTTACCTGAGCCACGAGGGAAGGAGGCGCAGCGGGCGCACTGTGAAAAGCTTTAGCTGTAGCACAGAGCATGTGCTAATCCTGCTGTACAGTACCATGTAGTGCTTCATGCATTCTCAAAGCACACCACCTTGGGGTCAAGTCCCTGCCTTGTGGACATGGCTGACCCCTTGCCCCTCCCGCCCCACGCCCGTGGTCTCTGCAGTACCTGTCAGAGGTGGACCCTGGGCGCCGGCGCCTGCTTGACGACGTGAAGGAAAACACCATGCGCTACGCCGGCATTGCGGCAGAGGCGGCGGACGAGGCCATGCCCCCGCCAGAGGGGCTGCCGCAGGCTGACATCTTTGACCGCCTGCTGGAGAGCGTGAGCTGCTGCAGGGTGCTAATGGGTGTGATTTGGGGTGCGAGGGGCTCGGTTGGCAATGGGTGGATTAATGTGGGAGTGAGCTGCGCTTGATGCTTATTCTTTTGTTCATCTTTGACGTGGCTGTGGACCCCAGCTCAGTGCTGCCCGCATTCCCGCTACCGCAGCGCTCCGAGCGGATGGAGCACGTGCGTGCGCAGACGGGTGGCTCTGGCCTGGTGGACACGGTGGGTTTGCAGGCGCTGGGCGCGCAGAGGGACGCCGGGTGGAATGGATCCGCTGAATGTGCGCCCCCACATGACTGCGGCAAGCGCTAGCTGCTGGCCCGCGAGTTTGTTGCAGCAGTCTGGGCTGGACAACCTTCAGCTTGCAGTGGAACGGCATTGACTGGGTGTAGTGCTTATCAGAGCAAGTCTGCCCTTGTACCCTGCCCAGGCCACCGCGGCAGTTGACGCAGCTAAGGCAGGGCGGCTGCCGGCGGCGCTTACGCGGCGCTATGACATATACTTTGTGCCTGAGGAGCGTATTCCTCTCACAGAAGGTGGGCATGAAGGATCGTTGGGCCCATCTCAACATCCCAGCGTTTGGGATAGAGCTGCAGGCCAGCGACAAACCTTGCCTTGTTGATGGGGGGAGGGGCGAATGGGCAGCGGGCCTGTATCTACAGCATGCCTCTCACGCTATCACGTTGGTCGCAGATGAAGCCGCGGCGGAGGGGACCAAGGAGCTGACGCGGCCGCAGCCGATCACCAAGATGCGCAGCGTCAATGCGGCGCTCATCGGCAAGCTCGTGCGTGTCAAGGTGAGGCGGGGGCTGCGTGGGCCATCACCACGGGGTCACACACCAGCAGGGCGGACTCTGCACGGCTGAGACGCGACACGCTGCTACAACGTTGCTGCTCCTCCAACACAACTCCATGGCAGTGAGCAGCTCCCAACACGTCTATAGCCCATCCCGCCCCTCGCACGCCACAGGGTATTGTGACCCAGGTGACTGACGTGAAGCCTCTGGCCAGCGTCATCACGTACACCGATGACGACGGGGGTGGCGAGCTGTACCAGGAGGTCCTGGGCAGGTGGGGGCCTGCTTGATGCAGGGAGGGTCAGGGCCCCGGGAAGGGGTGGCTGGGTTGGAGTCTTCCTGGCTTTGCTGAAAAGCTGGAGTCAAATGCAGGCAGTTGGGTGATGTCAGGTCAGCTTTGTATCTGCCTGCCTGCCGGCCTGCCTGCCTGTCTGCCTGTTGCCTCTTTGCCTGCAGGGCATGCTTCCTATACACGCATAGGTATCTGCACTGCAACCCCTCCCCTCTTGCAGGACGTTTGTGCCAATTGAGGCTCAGCGCAAGTCGGATGGCAGCCGCTGGGTGACTGCGCCCACGATGCAGACCAAGGGCAGCAAGTTTGTCAAGTTCCAGGAGGCGCGGCTCCAGGTGCGCGGCAAGCACAGAGCGCTTGCAGACAAAGAACATGGCCAGAGGTCAGCAGTACAACGCCGCAGTGCGCCCACGCATGGCGGGCACAAGCATGTTGGGCTGTTGATGCCTGGTGTTTTTGTTATCTGCTCAACAATGCACCGCCGCCATCGGCGCTGGTCCGCTCTCCCTTCAATAGGAGAGCGCAGACGAGGTGCCTGAGGGGGCCACCCCGCGCACCCTGGGTCTTCACCTGCGCGGGGAGGTGACGCGGTCCCTGAAGGCGGGGGACAGCGTCGTGCTGGCCGGGGTGTTCTTGCCAGAGCCCTTCTCCGGTTGGAAGGCCATGAGGTGTGGAGACAGGAGGGGCAGCCCTCTAAGCCAACAGGCGTGTCTGCACAGCTGGGGGTCGCTAGCGTGGCCCGACTGGGTGGGGTACCACCATTGCGAGCTGTTTCTTTTGTTGTGTGCCTGAGTCTGTATCAAACTTGGTGCCATAGTGCATTTTCCACTGCGCATCACTGCCATCACTGCTTTTCACAAGTCCACTTCAACCACTCCGTTTTTGCCTAACAGGGCGGGCCTGCTGACCAGCACCTACCTGGAGGTGATGCATGTGACACAGGCCAAGGCCGGATATGCTGACCTGGCTATCACACAGGAGCAGGTGTGCAGCTTCATGGGTTGCCAGAACATGAGCTTTTGCTGGTCTGCCATGATCAGTTGCCAGTGTCTTCCTGTTGGGCGGTTTTACGTACTCAGCATCGCGCCGGTACCTGAGCTCCCCCTCTACTGTCACCCGCCCTCTCAAGGTCGAGGCCATCAACGCGCTGGGGGCTCAGGGCAACGTGTTTGAGCGGCTGGCCGCCTCCATCGCCCCCGAGATCTACGGCATGAGGGAGGTCAAGAAGGTGACACACAGTGGGCTGGGGTTGGGCAGGAGGGCTCGCGGCAGTTGGCAAGCTGTCTGCACACCGCTGCGAGGAGAAGTGGCATTGCAGACCCATAAGTGTGTCAAGTGTGTCAGCGTGCGTGTATATGAATTTCTGTGTGTTGGGCATTTGCACACGCATGCGCGCATGCAGGGGGGTGTGTACGTGTCTTTGTGTTCTTGCATGTGCGTGTGTGCGCAGGCGTGCGTGTCTGGGCATGTGCGTGCAAGCCATCGCGTGCGTGTGCGCAGTAGCAATCCCTCCTGATCATTGCACGTATTGACCCTGGCCTTCCGCCATTGTGCCCCCGCCTGCATTGCGCCTGCTCCCTCAGGCCCTGCTGCTGCAGATGGTGGGGGGTGTGACGCGGTCGTTCCCCGACGGCATGAAGCTGCGCGGGGACATCCACATCTGCCTCATGGGGGACCCAGGTGGGGAGAGCGGGTGCGGTGTGGGTCTGGCAGCCACTTGCATTGCAACCGAACTGGCAAGAGGTTGCGTTGAACCTGGCCCTGTGCGACCTCAAAAGCCCATTGTTTTCATCCCCCATCTTTGCACCAGGTGTTGCCAAAAGCCAGCTGCTGAAGCATGTGGCAAAGGTTGCACCCCGCGCGGTGTACACCACTGGCAAGGGCTCCAGCGGTGTCGGCCTCACTGCCGCGGTGCTGCGTAACCAGGTGCACAGGATGCTCGCCACTGCCTGGCGTACATGCGTCCAGGCTGATCAGCGAGGGGGGGGGGTCGCGAGAGTCCCTAGCCACTGAGTCCGCCTGTGCTATTGAATGGCGTCGGACTACCCTTCTCAGAACCCTTGTGCTTCCCCATCTTACCAGGTGACCAAGGAGCTGGTGCTGGAGGGTGGTGCCCTGGTGCTGGCCGACCGCGGCATCTGCTGCATCGACGAGTTTGACAAGATGGAGGAGGCGGACCGCACCAACATACACGAGGTGGGTGCGGCACAGGAGGTCATGGGTAGGGGGGGGCATGGCCATGCCTGCGCTGGGGTGAGACGCCGTTGCACGTCGACGTGGCGGCCCACCTGCGATGAGCGCAAAGCCGAGTCTGTGGTATGTGGCTTCTTGTGGCGGCGTGCTTGATCCCAGCGTCGCCCCATCCCGCGTTACCATCTCAGGTGATGGAGCAGCAGACGGTCAGCATCGCCAAGGCCGGCATCACCACAACGCTCAACACGCGCACCACCATCTTGGCTGCCGCCAACCCGGCATTTGGGCGCTGGAACCTCAAGCGCAGCCCGGGAGACAACATCAACATGCCACCTGCGCTTCTCAGCAGGTGACAGGGGCTCGCTCTACACCGCAGTGGTCGGAGAACACAGACCGCCCTGCTGCGTTAGCAGTCTGCTGCTGCTTCACCTGGCCGCAAGCCGCATACGGCCTGCCTCAACGTGACCTGCCAATCACCTGCCTGCCGCCCCCTCCGTCCCCGGCCTGCCCCGCCTCTGAAGGTTTGACCTGATGTGGCTGCTGCTGGACAAGCAGGACCTGGAGCAGGACAGGCGGCTGGCGCAGCACATCCTGGGGGTGCACCAGGGCGTGGTTGCAAAGGTGCGGGGGTCAAGGGCAGGGTCAAAAGAGGGGGGGCCCCGCATGGGAAAGCAGTCTGCGGCCTGTTTGCCCTGCAACAGCCCTCGTACAAAGCTCCCCGTTCACTGTGCCTGCACGGCCACCTGCCTTGCACATCACCATCCTCCACCTTCCCCCTCCCTGCCACCGCCCCTCTTCCCTTCCCCCCAGGACGAGCAGCTGGGTGAGCTCGTGTCCCCGGAGCTGCTGCGTGCCTACATCAGCCTGGCACGGCGGCAGTCACCCTATGTGCCACCAGAGCTGGCGGACTACGTGGTGGCGCACTACTGCGCCCTGCGGCAACGAGAGCGCGATGAGATGGATGGCCGAAGCTACGTCACCCCCCGCACGCTGCTCTCAATCCTGCGGCTCGCGCAGGCCGTGTCCAAGGTGTGATGTGCACGGGGCAAGGGGACAACTCGAGGCTGAGCAAGCTGAACGCTGCCAGATTGGGGCGCAGCGTGCGCCCCCACTAGCCCTGCAACGCCCTGCCTAACGCCTGCCGCCCTTTCCTGCTCCACTGTGGCGCCATCGTCGTGCCTGCAGCTGCGCTTTGACGAGGAGGTGTCGCGGTCTGATGTCGACGCGGCCCTGGCACTGATGACGTCCAGCCAGGCCAGCATCACGCCCGACATTGAGCGCCGCGTGCGGGACGACCCCATCAGCCGCGTCTACCAGGCGGTGCGCACCCACGCGCTGCGCACGCGCCAGGCTGAGGTGACCCTGGACACCATCAAGCAGCTGGTGGCGTTTGACCGCGAAATCAACAAGGTGGGCTGGCCTTAGCATAGAGCGACTTGGAAGGCTTGAGTGCGGTACTGCTCATGCTGGTATACGACGCAGAGAGTGCTCGACACTTTACGCTACGACCACACGGCATTCGTCTTACTGCTTTGTCCCATCGTCCGCTCCTACCACCCACATCAGGACGCGGCCATCGAGCAGTGCATCCGTGAGTACGAGGGCATCGCGGTGTGGGCCGTCACCCGGGACGCCACGACCGGCGCCATCGCCAGCGTGCGCTTCCCCGAGGAGGACATCAACCTCGCGTCGTGAGACGGCGCAGCGAGCAGCACGCCAGCTGCGCACACGCTGTCTCTGCGTGGGCTGGCCTTACTTGAAGCTACCCTTCTAATTTTTCTGGTGCAAACGTGTGACCAACCTTGCTGGCTGCCTGCAGCTGCTCAAATGACCCAATCGCTTCCTTGTCGTCTTTTTCCTGTGGGTTTTGTGCTTAGTCAGCGACAGCATTGCCTCAACGGCGCTGCAATGTTGTCTCCCAAAGTTCTGATTTTATGGGGGTGAGTGGCATGATACAACCCCCTTGTGGCATATCGCCCCCCCCCCCACCGTGACAGTAACATTAACCCCCTCGGATGGAG